TATAGAGTATCTTGACTTTAGTGGGGTTATGGCTTTGCAGAATGATGTATTAATTATAGCTATTATCAAACGATCTCTAAATTTAAGACACTTAGAGATCGGTCATAATGATATTGGTGATGAGGTTATTGAAGCTTTGTTATAAATTAGAGCATCTCAAGCTAGATGATTGTTCATTTGTCAGTGAACTATCAATTTGTAATGTTATACATTCCTGCCCAAGACTTTAGCATCTCGAACTTGGATACTATAATATTACCAGTACAACTATCAGAGAAATTGCTCGCTCATGTCTCAATTTAAAATTTCTAGATTTGGATGGGTGTAAAAATATTAGCAAAAAAGCCATGCATCAATTAAATTCAAATATTCATATCGAAAATTTTGATGAAGAGTAGTACTCTGATTCAGAATCTTCTAATTCTGGCTCTGAAACTGAATCAGATGATAAGGATGTCTATAGTAATAATGTGCCTCTTCCTGTGTTTATGGGTATGATTGATACTACAAATGATTTTATTTCTGAACTTCTTAATCAGAATGATGATCATCAGCTCGGAAGAATTTGCTGATCCATGCATAATGTCTGTCTCTTCATTTTTTTTCTTGCCAAAATTTTAACGACCTTAGGTCGCCCAAAATTACGTGAGATTTTGAAAAATCCTGGTAGCTATTCACCCTTTCTTGTACCTTCAGCACTGCAGGAAATAGCTAACCCTGCTTGCTTACTCTTATCGAAATAGCTTTTCATTTTTCGAGTTGAATTTATGAGAAAAAAGGATCTCTCACAAATTTTAAGCTTAATAGAATTATTATGTGATACTGAGGAACAGAGCTGGCTCGGGAAATATGATCATATGATATTGATACTGATGAGATTAAAATATCTCTTGGCAAAAAAACATAAACCAGTTTATGGTTGACTAAATAATCTACCTATTTTCATCGATTTTGAATACTAATATTTTGATAATACACAGACATGCAAACTGAAATAGATTTATTAAGGCAATATATTACCGAACTTGATCTCAAAAATGTGGAACCTATAAAGCAGATTATGGAAGAGAATAACAGACATGATGCTAGGCTTGAAGAGTTTGAGGATAGAATTCTAAAACTAGAGCAGAATCAGGCAAAAAGAGAATTTAAGAAAAATCGCAAATTCCAGAACAGATGTATTCAGATAGCTAAGGACATTCTTAAAGATGAGCCAATAATTGAGTATCGCCATCCTTTCTTAAACAGATTAGAGTTTGATGCCTTCTTTCAAAAATATCGAATTGCATTGGAGGTGCAAGGAGCCCAGCATCAGTTTTATAGCACCAGCTGGTCTGGTATAAAGACATCAAAAAACTCGAGGATATTGTTAATCGTGATCGACAAAAAAGATGCATTTGTCAAGATAATGGAATCTTTCTTCTTGAAGTATGGTATGATGAAAAACCAGAAATCGTTATTCCAGAAAGGATACGAAAGATTAAGGAATTCGTTATTAAAGCATCCAAAAGCTTTGACCTCCTATAATCAATAGCTTATAATACACGTAATTTTATGTTTGAATTGCAAATAAATATCGCAAAATTCTTATGGCTGTTATTCATTTAGAAAGGAACTTGAGGATAGATTTGACGCCTATAAAAATTTGTATAAAGAGCATAGGGCTCAGAGAAACTAAACTATGAATTCGTGGAATACTTCCTAATGATCACTCGAAAAAATGTAATCGAAAATTTCAGCAAAATATTTAAACTTTATTTTTGTATTATCTGCAAATGTAAAATCTATTTTTTTAATCATCTGTTTATCTATCTGTGCAAATAAAATGTTTATGACAATATTGGTAAAAAAAACATTAATCATTTAATTCATATCGTATATAATAGCCAACTTCATTTAAGGCCTAGAGAGTATACTAAGCACAATATTCATTTGGAGCGTCCATCCACACATAAGAATCAAATGCTCATTCCAGTCTATTCTATAATAAACCGGAATGTTATTAGCATTCCAGTGTATAAGGTATGGAGCCCGATTAGGTCTTTGATTTTGGTTATTAACTGGAGTTGCAGGAATTGAGGCTACCCCGGGATTAGGATTCTGGTGGTAGGGACGAACTAGTTCAGGAAGCGCGACTCCAACAAATTCAATCGTAGGATTACTTTGTTGAACCCGAGCAATTCTAGTTAATGCATTTGCTCTATCCGGGTCTTGGTTATAAAACACCTGCAAGGATTCAAACATTGTAAGCAAAGTTATTTTCAATTATTCGTTGCAAGAATTTAGTTACCTCTATGTATACATTCGGCGGCGGACAAGAATTTACAAGTGGATTTTGCCGTTGTGCAAATGTTGGCGCTTGAAACCATATGCCAACATCAGGTCGATAATCGTTGCCCCCAGCAACGCATATCGTATTAAGCGTTACCCACCAAATCGGATTTTGTGCCCTAGCCGAAATTGCAAGTTCGAGTTGAATTCCTTCTTTATTTCCTCCGTCATACTAATATAAAATTGTGTCAGATTTAATAATAAACGTAAATGTAATTCGGGATAAAACTTACCTTAATAAATATGTCACAATCGATTATTTGAGCATTATAATTATTATGTATGGCCTCACGTATGTGTTTATCAACTTTTTCAAGATCTGGGATATTGATCTTTATAATGTTTTGACCTTTCATTTGCGTTAATGAGTCATCAATCTTTGCGAAGATCTATTATACTTCGTTAGCCATAATTGCCATTTCTTAATTTGTTTTAAACATCACTTAAATACCTGGTTAATTTTGGAGGCTTGTCTGGTCTCCCGAGTCACTTGAATGGGCATGTCTTATGAGCCTTCTGTTGCGACACTCATTTTGTTAGGATTAAAGGAAAATGACAAACGGGAAACAGAACAAATGGTAACAGAAAAAATCCTTTATAACCTTTCCATAATGTCCTAGAATTATCCGCCACCTCATGTGATAAAGCAGGATAGATCGATCACCTGAAATGCGCAGTACGATATCGGAAAAACTCTTGCCGAAGAATAGGATGTGTGACGTGCGAATCGCATATATATTCGCTTAAATGAAAAAAAAATTCTTTACAACCTGTAAATACGGGCATACTCACTGCGTATTGAAAAAGTGCCAGTGAAATAAAAGTTACTTAGCGAAATGCCAGACGAGACATTAGACAATTAAGGGTAGGTATTTACTTTCGGTTTAAGCTGAGCATTTGCAAGGAGGCGTCTTCAGAGCTTGTAACTAATACATACTTTACAGAAACTTTTCAATCGTAATAAAATCGTGACCAGATCGAATATTTATCGTAGACCTTCTTGTCACAATTTGGTACGATTTAGTCACGATACATTCTCGATATAAATATGCAAATCGTCTGTAAAAATCTAAGACGATCGTCACTTGATTTGATCGGATAAAATATCGAAATCGTAACGAAATTGTGAAACTGTATTTTCGATTATATAAAACTAATTTTCGAATTTGTAAATAAATATTAAAATTTTCTTAATTAAATTAAATAATAAAAAATTCTTAAATAAATAGTAAAGAATTCTTGAATAAATAGTAAAATGCTCTTAAAACTTTATTTAATAAATAGTAAAATGTCCTATTCGAAATCGTAAATAAATCATATTAAATAGTGAATTAATATTATAATATTATTAAACAGCTTTAAAAAAAATACAAATTTCGTATGTACGAATTATTTCTAGAATCGTGTTCGTCTCCGTCACATCCTTCGTCTCTACAACTGTGAATGAAATGCGCAACGTTAACTGCATTGATAGAGAAAACCCTTCGCCAATTATTTTTCGGACCCCTTATTAACCTGTATACTGGGCAGCCTAGAATATCTTGATTTAACTCCTCAAACCAATCAACGATAATAAATGAAAATCGAAGGTCATTCTTTTGATGGCAGAATATGGCTCTTATAATCGCGAAATTTTCTCCATCCTCAATATTGATTGATACAACATCCTCAATATGTAAACGGCATAGAATAGTATCACCGTTTTCTACTTCCAAAAGGAAATTTGCATACCCAAAGAATGATATTGCGCCGTCGAGTATTAAAGAATTGTCTCCTAAATCTTCGCAAGCTAGCTTTAATTCCGTTTGGATATTCAACAATAATGATCTTTCAACATTTTTTCGATGAATACGTTTCTTTAGTAATATATTAGAAATGCGTTTATCAGGAGAGTAAACTTTTAGATAAAATAAGAAAGTGATTAAATTAGTTTAGTGTTAAATAAACATAAATTAACGTTAATAAATGTAATAAAGTGTTAAATGAATAAAAATACTGTATTGATTATACTTACCTTCACTTGCATCATCTTTAATTTCTACCATGTCTTTCGTAATGAACCAGTCACTCATCAAGCGCTTCAAATGTCTTGGAATGTTCATAAAGCCACTGTTCGATGTGAAAAACCATAAATCTATGCCACCGTCTAATAAATGCCGTAAGGCAAATAAATGTGGTGTAATGCTTTGCTTTAATAGATCCAACACTAAATTTTTTAGATTTGTCTGTGGTACAATACTTTTGAATATTCGATTTACCATCTCCTTCGTTCTAACACTCGTA